TCACACTTCACCCAAGGAAACGTACATTGAATCAAGAGAAAGTCGTTTTTTAAGCCCTCCCAAAGTCTCTACATGGACTACGTGGGTACAGGATATACTGTCATTTGGTCTTTTATTGTGCCTTTTTGTTACCTTTGTACTTTAAAAAAGCTTTGATATAATATTATTGTTGTAACTAATGCCAAAATTTCTACTCTTTGGAAAAGCAGTGACTGCTGTATTGCTGGTGATGTCTTAGGTTTAGTCAGACATAACTGTTGAAGAAATATTTATTTAAGTAGCAGGGGAATATGATTTCATACGGTATCTATTTTGGGGGTAAAAAATCTTAGATATAAAAGCGTTCTTGAAAGTAGCCTCATAGTACAGAAGAGAGAGGTGTGATTCTAATATATAAAACCATCGGCCACACCAACAGACCAAAATACATTTATATGACTAGCGCTTCTTTTTTTACTATGTTTGTTATTGTAGCAATTGAATGTTTCATTTCTAATTGTAGAAATTCGAGATATAAAATAAAAAATTAATTTAGTTGATATGTTGTAACAGACATTTTCGTACAATTCTAATTTGTAATAATTAGCACTCTTACTGCATCCTTCTAGAATTAAATCAGCAGTGAATCTCTGCGCCGTTTCAGAACCACCATTCAGTTATTTATCTCCATATTTATCAACTTTTATTTAAATTGTCTAATCATTTAGGCCTTTTGTCAAGCATTAACACAGGATGTACTTGGATACAAGAAAGAAAGCACAATAAAAATAAACAAAACAGGATTTTACACGCACATCATTTCTTCTAGTGTTGGTCATTTCTTAACATTGTACTTTCTTCCACTGAGGTTCTAAACTGCTTAACCACAAAATGTATGTGAGTGAATTGAAATATATTTTTATTTTATTTTAAAAAAATTGTCTAGTTCTTATAAAAGTGATATTGAGAGACTACATATAGAAACACGTCAAACCAAAAGCATAAAAATGTAAAAACATGAGTATTTTGATGTGTTTTTTCTGCCTTTTTATGGTACTGATCAAAAAATGTAATATTTTAGGCTGGTCTCAGATGATCTTGGAGGTGAAGATGCTGGATGTGTAGGTCCTGGGCTGGTGTGGTTACACGTGGTCTTCGTTTGTGAGGCCGGTTGGATGTACTGCCAAATTCTCTGAAACGCCTTTTGAGACGGCTTATGGTACATAACAGCTCTGGTGGACATTCCTGCAGTCAGCATGCCAATTGCACGCTCCCTCAAAACTTGCAACATCTGTGGCTTTGTGCTGTGTGATAAAACTGCACATTTTAGAGTGGCCTTTTATTGTGGCCAGCCTAAGGCACACCTGTACAATAATCATGCTGTCTAATCAGCATCTTGATATGCCACACCTGTGAGGTGGATGGATTATCTCGGCAAAGGAGAAGTGCTCACTAACACAGATTTAGACAGATTTGTGAACAATATTTGAGAGAAATAGGCCTTTTGTGTACATAGAAAAAGTCTTGGATCTTTGAGTTCAGCTCATGAAAAATGGGGGCAAAAACAAAAGTGTTGCGTTTATAATTTTGTTCGGTGTATATAGCACAAATTCATAAAAATGCAAAAACACTATTTTTTTTAAATTCCCTTTTCCATTGCATTATTTGTGTTTATTATTCAGATTAAAATGGATTGGCTTTTGATATGTATTTTGGTCATTTATAGCCTTTAATAGACCTTGAGCTAGGCCACAATGCTACAATTGATTTTACAATACACATTTTACTCTACATTTTTTGTTTAAATAGCCCTCATTGAGGCAAATATTCTTTCTCGCTGCCTGTTTAAGTCACTGGAAAAAACTTAAATAGTGATTGACTGTGTAAAAGATTTTGCATATCTCATACCTCACATGAGCTCAAAATATTTTATTACATATTATTATTAGATATTTTCCAACTCTGACAAAGAAAGAGCTGTAAAAAAAAGAATATGCACAACTTAAATGGACAATGTTTATTGATTTATTATTTAATATAAACATATGTACATGAACATCATGACCGCTACTTCCGTCGCTTCAGTGTGACGTCCGTAGCTCGCGCTTAGCTTCATGTAGTTTATTAAATATTGTATTTTTCACGAATATAGGAATTTGGACTGCAATACCTAGTTCAACCACTCGGTGTCAATCCTACATACAGCACCTTTAAAGCAGCACTATGTAACTTTGTCTGTGTTCAAAATTTGCAAAATGTATATAATGAGCGATCATGAATTCATCTTCCAAACAGAGTTTTTGTCTTTTTCCGAATCACTACGGAACACTTATAATAAGTACTTATATTTGGACTATTGTAGCCTGGACGGGTCGTCACCGCTGCGGAGTAACACACACCTGCGTGAATCGCCAGAGACATAAACTTAGAGAAGTAGCTCCGGTTAGAATGTTCTTCCGCGGGATGTGTGCAGTTCTGTTTATTAACCGCTAGAGCGCCAAACGTTACATAGTGCTGCTTTAAATATGCAGTTGTGTATTATTACAATATTTGCACTGGAGGGCGTTTGGTTGTATTTCGGTGACTCGAAACTTTGAATCAAATGAAACAATTGCTTCGTAAAATGAATCAGAAAAGAGGAAACCAAAGATGCCTAGCAGTACACACGTTACAGGAATTAAGTTAGCTGCTATTTGCAATTGTTTAATAGTAATAATAATAATAATAATTGAATAGTTATTTGTCATTTATGAGACACTTTGTTTGTGCGATTGTTGATGAGTTACACGGTTTCTTACAGTACGCTGTAAGAAAAATATGCAGAAATAAAGGTGCTAGTAATTTTCCAGGACATTATCCGTTATAACCCGAAAACACAAAATACAATGCGTAATTAAAAATGCAGGTACAAAAACCTGTTAAAAAATCAATCCAGAAAATTCCTTCATATTAACACAGTAGATTGTGCATTATATATATATTGTTTTAACTTTTCTTAGAGTGCAGCATACAAACTAACTACTAATAAACTGCTTTAAAGTATAAAACTTAAATTGTAATCGTTCAAAAATGTGCACGTTTTCGATAATTCAATGGATTTAAAAATAGTTATTTCTATTTTAATATTATGTTATGCATTTATATTGCTACGAGCACATCTAAATTAACATATATAAAATATATATATGTTTTTGCTGAGATTTGACACAATTTTGCATCGTGATTACGTAACGACGTCATCACGCAATGTCGTCACAACATCATTTAGCAACAAATCGACCTTCCTTCAGCAACCTCCTGTGGAAAACAGCGTTTAATTCGGTCAGCAACATGACACCTGATGTCAACATGACTGTCGCTACACCACGTTCTGATGGTTTACAGTCATAGAAGTCCATGACACACTCATTATGTGACTTTACACACAGCACATGCTCCAGCCTATCAGTGAAATCAGCTGACACACTTGTGATACTCTGCAGGAATGCACAATGTGATGCGACTCACTGTAAGTAACTTTATCAGCAGTCCTCGTTAAGTCGTTATGTAGTAGTAATGTATTATTGTCAAAGCAGGGCTTTAATGTGTTTTCTGGAGTGTTTGGGTAATGCTGCTCTTCATTGGCAGACACCGTCATTCTCGGTTTAAAGGAGTGGGGGTTCAATCTTCAACTGGCTTGCAGGAGCTGCCACTGACAGGTCATGTGACCTGCCAGTGGCTGGTGGCACAGTGGCGGCTCCTGCCAGCCAGTTGAAGATTGAACCCCTACTGTTTAAAAGTGTAACTTTAATCGTATAAGTAGGCTAATAGTTATTCAGGCTTATCTTGTATGTAGGTCTATTAAAGACTTGTTTATACGTTGCTCTCTTGCTGAACGCCCTTGTCAGGCCTTTAGGAGAGCAAATGATTCAGTAGTTGAATCTAAGGAGGCTGTTCCTATAAAACTCCTGTGCTTTTTTCTGCTGATAGTTAAGTATCACTGTAGGTAATAGTCTAATGGGTTTGAGATGGTTAATAGAGTTAGATGGTGTTATGAGATGCTGATGTTCGTGCTGCTTCACTACGAGTCCAATGTTCTTGTCTTAGTGCAGTTAAACACATGTTCTCTAATACTGTAAGATACAAGACATACATTTACTAAAAACAGGTCATTACCCTCCTCCGATTTTTAATTGTGTTTCTGCAGTTTTCTGCATCTGAGTTCTGCGTAAGTTATTAGAATTCTATTAACAAACAATAAATAAAAAATAAAGTGTTTAGGCTTATAATGTGTACATCAAGATTCTTAGTCATTATATATATATATAATAAATTGCATTCATCAATAAGCTTGTCTAAATGAATTGAACTCGTAAAAACAATTCAGTTGATTTAGACATGCTTATTGATGAATACAAGTTAAAGAAAAATGAAAATGGAAATAAAAACCAAATTAAAACCAAATTAAAGAACAATAGAAATGTAATTCTTATTAAACTTCTTGTTCAATTACTAAGACATGTTCTTTGATTACTAACCGCCCCCCCCCTTC